TCGTCATGATGTAAGCAACCTACATACCGAGTTTGAACGAAACCGGAGGAAAAAAGTGGAATTTACTGATTTAAAAAAAAAAATCACTTTTATGCGCTAAGAACCTATCTCTTACATTGTACAATGTATGTGACAAGTTTGGTCAAAATCGGTTGGATGGATCTCGAGTGAAAAGGTATCACACAGACAGACAGGCACACAGACGTCCTTAGTTTAAAATATATATAGATCAGTTAATAAACAACTTCTGACGATATGTAACATTTCAGCGCTACCAGAAATAATACCGTATAGAAACCAGATCTTGATTTTAAGCATCAGTTTAATCCACAAGTTCATGTTTAACTAAACATTAAAACAGAATTAGAATAATGTAACCACGTTGATTGAATAAAGATTTCGTTTCGAAATTTCTAGAATATTACTGATTGCGAAGAGAGACTCCTGAAGAAAGCCGAGCTGAACAATGGACTGATGGTAAAAATGCATATAAAAGATTTACTATAAAGAGCGTGAATCCAACAATGTTTTTAATTGATTGATTGTTTTTTTTTACGGCTTATCAATCTTTTGCAGGTTATTTAAAGCCAGAAAATATTTTTAGATTGTAAGAAACTTGGGGTTCCACATATATTTGTGAGGTATTGTAACTGTTTACATTGTTCATACTGTTGCTCTCAATTTCATTGTCATATATACGACGCTTCAGGCGTTGTACGCTCCGGACATCTTCAGGTGATTGAAATTTCGAACCAAACTCTTTATTTCGTCCACCGGGCTAGATTGTTCTAGTTCCATGCCTCTACCAAATGTCTCAGTTATTTTCCTTATTTAACTCAACTCTCCAAGCTTTTTGCCCACCACTGCTATGGCCTGGTATTGAACTCACAACACATTGGGTCTAGTCACTGGATCTAACCAACGTTTTTACCGACGGGGCCATGTTGTCCTTGAGGACATCTGTGTATGGATTCGGGGGGTGCTTGTAAATCTAATGTCTCAGAAATCATTTAGAGATCCAGTGTCTAGACCCAAAGATTTGTGAGTTCAATACCAGGTCATAGCAGTGGTGGGCAAAAATCTTGGAGAGTTGAGTTAAAGGGGGAAAAAACTACAAGTGAGACACCCGGAAGTGGTATGCTACGTGGAACTAGAACAATCTACCTCAGTGGATTAAATAAAGTGTTCGGTTCGAAATTTCAATCACCTGAAGAAGACTGGAGTGTACGACTTCTTCAGGTGATATACGTTGAAATTTCGAACCGAATCCTTTATTTAGTCCACTGAGGTAGATTGTTCTCGTTCCACGTGCCATGCCTTTTCTGGATATCTCAGTTTTATTCGTGAATATGACAACGTAGATGAGGAAAACAGCCCGAACAATGGAAATAGAGTTTTTTTTTTTTTTAAAAAAAGATAATAATGATTTATTTATACAAGTCCTACTAATTAAACCATAGAGGGGGGGGGGAGAGAAAAGTGGTGAATTCATATCTTTCCCAAGAGTATTTTGCGCATAAGTAAATATAACAACCCCTGACTGGAATTAGAACACATCTTTCCACTTTCCAATTCCGCGCCGTTATCCATGACACCAGTCCCACATCCAAGTTTGAAACACCTGATATTCTCAAGCGGTCACCTGTATAGTTTCTGACCAGGCTCGATGTTTCTTAACTGCGGTGATCGTACGAGAATTGGTGTTTCAATGTGATATGGCACTGACGTATTGTAGTCATTTTTTTTTAAATCGACGTGTGAGTGACTCTTGAAATATTAGTAACCGATTGATTAAAGGTAACATTTTCGGGTAGCACTTGAAGTAATTGTAGGGACTGCCAACTTAATTTAGACGTTTACACTTGGAAAAATCTAATACTTAAATGTTAACGGATGTAAACTGTAAATAGACGCAAAAATGGTCAATCTGTAACTTCAGTTAATTTATGAGGCATATACAGTCAGAACATAGGCTATTATGTGCCTTTCCAGCTTCCATTTCTTTTTTGTTTTCAAGAAAGCTTTCTTTATTTTTTGAGCCTTACTGATACTGTCTGATATTTGCTCCCGTCTCTTTTTGCATAAACTTACCAAGTAGGTTAATGAAGAGTAATTGGCCATGGTTAAATGTAATTGGCAGAAATGCTCAACAAATAAAATTTACAAAGTTTCCTATAAACAATTAAAAAGAAAGAAAAGAAGAGGTCAAAACCAGTACTGGACTCTCACTTCATTTTTTTTTAAAGTTTACTTTCGTACTAATACCTTCAGTAATGACATGAATACATTTCCCCTCCTGTTTAAAGTCTTGCCACAGGGTAGACTGGTTCCCCTATGTCTGTGTGTTAGGCGATCGAGAAGAAATACAAACCTGATTACGAATATGCTGACGACAACATGTCACTCCACAATCTTACCCAAAAGGTCAGGGCAATTCACAAATAATTGAGTAAAGTAATCTGCGGGGAGTGATGATCGCCTATGTCCTGAAAGGATGTAACTAACCTGGCCGTTGGTCATAAAAAGGACCTCCAATCTGTGGTTGACTGGGGCAAGAAATCTCTATCTATAAAAGGCAGGATGTATGTGTGTGTGAGTGTGTGTGTATGTGTGTGTGTGTGTAACGAATGCACGGCCACAATTTTCAACGGATTTTCACCAAAATTTACATGCACATGCTCCAAGTTAGCGGGAAGGCCAAGACCGACTTTGCATTTCCCAACTCCCATCGATAGTGGAAATAATCGATTTTTTTATGCTTCTACTGCAGTTTTCATGTAGTTTGCGGCCATTTTCTATTGGCCAGAGTGAGAGCCAATAGCTGGCTGCCACGAATTGGCAGGAAGATTCTATTGGCCAGCGTGAGAGCCAACAGCTGACTGACACGAATGTTAACTAGCATGCTAGCATGCATAAAAAATCGATAGCTGCATTCGTCACAAGTGGAAAAAATTAAAATCTGCATTGCACTTTACTGGCTCATTCGCTTGCTTAAACTCAACGTTGATTCTGATTCCGCAGAACTGGGTTGGGTGTGAAAAAGTATTTGTTGTTAACATTCTTTTTTCATTCGGTTTTTCCAGTTACGAGTCCTTTTTGAAAGCTGATCGTTTTGTGTTCATTTTGTTTAGTTATTTTTTCATAACAAATTTAATGTTTAGTATAGAGCTTAGAAAAAATTCTCAGTGTGAGATAGGCAAGAAGTAAGGCATGTACCAACATCATCACGGCAAAAGGCACTCCTTTAAAGGCAAGGAAGGGCAAAAATATTTTAAGTGAAGTGATAGCGATTGCTGTATGAGTACGATTTTTGAATCAAGCACGGGCAAAGCCGGGCCATGCTGCTAGTATCTTATAAATTTTAATGCCTCCAAAACGAAACTGCTCTCTTTTAATCACCATAGAGAACCCCCCCCTACCTCCTATCAGAATGACAGATGCCCAACTCCACGAGAGCGTCTCTCTCCGCCTGCTCGGTCTCAAGCTTTCCACTGACCTAAGGTAGAACAACTACGTTGAATCAATAGCTTCATCTGCTGCAAGGAAAGTTGGTTCTCTGTGTAGCGCCAGAAGATTTTTTTCTCGCCTGAGTCCATCCTTCAAATCTACAAATCAACCATTCATCCTCGCATTGAATACTTCTGCCATATATGGTCTGGTTCCCCCGCTATTCATCTCGAGGTCTTTGATAAAATTCAAAGACGGAGATGCAATGAGATAGGTCCTGATCTGATATCTCGTCTACAGTCACTTTCTCACAGACAATCTGTGGTTTCTCTTCTACAAACATTTTCATGGCATCTGCTGACAAGCTACTTTCACTTGAACCCCAACTGCATGCATTTAAGCGTGCTACTAGGTTGGCATCTCGGTCCCACACTTTTTAATGTCGATACGGTTAAATGTAGCCGTCTCTTCTACTCCAACAGCTTCTTTTCTCGCACTTCCCGACAGTAGAACTCCCTTTCTCTTACTTGCTTCCCTGATAACTATAATCTTCAAATATTCAAATGTAATGTCAGTCGATATCTTCTGATGCCTTGATCTTGACCCCGTCCTTCTCTTTATCTTTTCCTCAAACGACTTTTTTTTATTCTTGCTCTCACTCTCTGTAACCCCTTGCGTGCTAGTGGCACTCCGTCCTTGCTTGGGGTGATATGCTTAAAATCTCTTTAAAAAAATACTTTACTCAGTGTTCGAGTACATCTCTAATTTTTCAATGTTATACCCCCTTTGCTGTCTTATTACAATGTTCACATAGTGAACAGTTTTGCACATGTTTAATTCTAAAATAACCGATGTTTAATATACATCTTAGGCCTGCCAATTTTTGCACCCCGTGTCAATCTGTGTTCTTACAATTAATAGTCAATCTTTTTTCTGCTTTCTTCGTTTACATTCACAAAGTATTATACGTTTTGCTTCTGAATTTACAGCAACAGAACGTTATCGGCAGTTTTCAAGTTGTGGCCTGTCAATAATAAATTCTGCTATGTCGTTGAGAAACATCTCGCTGTATAGATTAAATAAATTCAACGAGAATATAATTCCTTGTTACACTCGATTTTCTATTTTGGTGTACGCACTTCGTTGTCTGTCCCCTTACACACCATATGTAACCAATACAGACTGTGGTTTATTCGTAGATTCTTTCCGTGTAGATCAAGCTTTGCTAGCATTTCAAATTCATTCAGCCAGCTAAACAAATGCTTTTGTGTAATCAAGGAAATATAAGTATACAGTATTGGCCATAAATAAATACTTATTTTTCATAGAAAATTAATTTCGACCATGTATTCGTTCCATTGCTGCCGTAATTTTCCTCTCATGACTGCATTTCTATAGATTTTATATAACTTAGTTTTATGTCCTTTGTGGACATTTTCTGCGCATGCTCACTGCACTAATGTTCTTCATCGATTTATTTCTGCGCATTTCCTGTTTAGCCATTCTTTCTTAGACAGCTTGTACTTATTTCTGGGACTTTAGTTTCGCCTTATATGCATAGCGTCAAGACATGTCCTTATGTATATAAGGCTGTTTCTCCTTCATATGAGATTGAGAATTTCTCATGCTATCCTCTTTCTTTACACTTATTCCTGCGGATGAATTCTTTTGATGTTGTCACCAGTGATTCCTGTAAAGTTTTTCAATTTGAGTTTTCGACATGTTCCAAAGCAACGTATTTGTTTTTAACTTGTTTTTAACAAATTTGGAGTTTTCCTTATGTACGCAGTAAGAAATTGTGGGTTGAGAAAGTACGTCTTTAACGTATAAGCCGCTAACCGAACCCTGTAAGTACGTAAGTAAGAGTAGAAGTGAAAAGAAAGAAAGTAAGGGAGAGAATGGCGTATTTGCTAGGTGACAATATCTGTACGCGAGAACATCTGCGATTGTGGATAAGATCTCGTTCAGCAGTGCGCTAGCGATAACGAATAGTACAAGCTGTGAACAGATGAGGTGCCTGGGGTCGAGTAGGTCGGGTGGGTCCTTTTTAATGGAGCCCAAATACATTTATCAGTGGAGAGAAGAACCAACGTAGCAAAAGCAAGGAAACGAGTCAAGCATACACGCACACACACACACACACACACACACACACACACACACACATATATATATATATATGCATTTTAAAAAATATATGCATAACTGTGTAATCTCAGATTGAATATCAACATTCTATTTTTGCTTATACATGCATATATATATATATATATATATATATATATATATATATATATATATATAGATAGATAGATAGATAGATAGATAGAGATGTAAAAGGAAGACTGGAAACAGACGCGCCTAAAAGGTATAGACAACAAAAAAGAGCTCAATACAAAATTCAAAATCGAATATATAGAGTCAAGATATTTAAGAAAAGGCAAAAATGCCAACCAACCATATATATATATATATATATATATATATATATATACATTACTATTATTATTATTATTATTATTATTATTATTAGTAGTAGTAGTATTAATTAAAGAATATCAAACAATTAAAATCCATAAGTAATAATTTTTATTTCATGAGAGGTTTAAAAAACAGCTTTCAAACTTCAAGATCTTGTAGGTTTTAAAAATTGAGAGCAGTTGATATAGAACTCTTTCTGGATCTATATCCTTCTGAAAATTCCATACGGATTACCATATTTTATTATATATATATATATATATATATATATATATATATATATATATATATATATATAATGTCTGTGCGGTTGTTTGCGCATTTGAACGTATATATACAAATATGCACAGATTTGTAAAAGGTTATATATAGATGATAATAAAGAGAGATATGCATTTGTGCACATAGACAGATGCAGTGTGTATATATGGCTGACGATTGCATCTAGCATGACGATTGCATCTAGCTTGAAACAGACTAAGTGTTGAACTTATGTTCACTTTTATATATATATATATATATATATATATATATATATATATATGTATATATTATTGTATTTCACAGTTATTGAATACATTGATACACTGAAATCAGAATTCTGTAAAAACTTCCGAAGTTCATATATTTTTTTTTTATTTTTTGGGGTGTGTTTCTTTTTCAAATACTTTCGACCGTCTCAGGAATTATGAAGAGTGTATTTTAGATCCGTGTAACCCCGTTACACATGAAGTCACTTTTTATTAATCTGAATCCCAGCGTTCCACAAATGCCATAATATAGGCAACAATATACACTTTACCACATGGACGACACCCGTTTTTTTTTATAATAACTGAATCGGCTGAAAGCATTTTGTTGCAATTAAAGTAGAATAGTAAAATTTCATTCATCTTGCAAAATATAATTGTTTTACAGCATCTGTATTTTAAATATGATTTTGTGTAAACACACACACACACACACACACACACACACACACACACACACACACACACATATATATATATATATATATAGTTTTGAAAAACTAGGTAATCTGAATCCAAGGAGGATCCAGAGAGCCAATTTTCATCCAGAGCAAATAATTTAAATAAAACAGATACATCAATATATGTTCTTCTCTCTCCCACCTTTTTTTTTTAATTCACGGATGTTTAATACGGCCCGTTTTTTTTCTTTTTCGTTTTTTATTTGAAGTAAAGTCTGATGATCCACTGTCCTTTAAATTATTTGCTCTGGATTTACATTGAGTTCTCTGATTATATCCTCCTTAGGTTTACCCATACGGATTACCTTGTTTTTCATAAACTATATATATATATATATATATATATATATATATATATATATATATATATGTAGGTAAATGTTTATACTTATTTACATTGTTGTCCTCGGCTTTAATTTAAATAAAAACAGACCACTTTAAGGCTCCATGTAATAATTATTTCACCACAGCCCTTTTTAAAAGGACTGCGGATCATCAGACTTTACTTCCAAACAAAAAATGAAAAGATAATTTACACATTTTTGACGGGCCGTATTAAACATATGTAGATTAACGAAGTGAGGAAGTGAGGTGGGAGAGAGAGACGACATGAGTGAGTTAGTAGATATTGACACATATATCTGTTTTTATTTAAATTATTTGCTCTGGATTTACATTGATCTCTGGATTATATCCTCCTTAGTTTTACCTCACGGATTACCTAATTTTTCATAAACTATATATATATATATATATATATATATATATATATATATGTAGGTAAATGTTTATACTATTTACATTGTTGTCCTCAACTTCACTGCCATATTCACGACATTTCTGCTATTTTATACTCCAGCCTTCTTCAGGTGATATTGGAGCGCTTCACGTATTCCATGGGGATAGATTGTTCGAATTTCACGTTACATGCATTTCGATATCTCAGTTTTAATTAATTCTCTTTGGTAACTAAAATCTCCAAGTTGTTGTCCCTTCTACTGTGGTTGGTAGAAAATTGGTTACTGAAATATTAGATTTATAAGTATCCCACAAATAGCTCATGGCACATGGCGCAGGGAATAAAAGTGTTGGTTAAATGATGTAAAAGTGACTTGACTAAAAGTGTTGTGAATTCAGTGCCTGGTCAGAGGGAACAAAAAATTGGAAAGCTTTGCCAAGTTACCAATGGTAATTAACAGGAACTGGAATATCCAAAGGCATGTCCCGTGGACTAAATAAAGGGTTCAAAATTCCATTGAATATGACTTGAAGAAGGCAGGAGCGTATAACGATCGAAACGTCGTGAATATGGTAATAAAGATGAGGACAAAAATCCGAACAATGTAAATAGTTACAATACTTCATCTCAGAAACATAGACAGATGTTTAAAAAGGCCGGAGCGTACAACGATCGAAACGTCGTGAATATGGCAATGAAGACGAGGGCCATAGTTTGAACATTGTAAATAGTTACAATGCCTCATCTCAGAAATATAGACAGATCCTGAAGATGGCCGGAGCGTACAACGATCGAAACGTCGTGAATATAGCAATAAAGATGTGGAAAA